TGTCTGGATTGGCCACTTCGTTTTTTGACCATTCCCTTGTCAGCTAGCTTTACCGGCGGCCTCACTGACACCCAAAAACGGGATCGTGTTTTAGAGTAAGCAAGATTAAGATTTTGTTCTCTACATAGATATTCTACAGCTTCTCAGCTTTTTGCAAAGTACATGTGCACGTCTTAAGGTCTACGCCTCTTCGGCTTATTTATACTCACGCTCCTATCGTACATATCCGGCTCCCTGTGAGTGACTGGTTGTTTTTACGGTTGTTTTACGGTTTGTTCTGTTTTTTTTTTGATTTAGGTGCACCATGAGTGCATTAAATTATGAATAAATAAATAAATCCCGTTTTGACAAACAAAGAGATTTTACGTCAGTATCAGTGCCCTTTGATTTTTTGTAAATACGCATTTAAATTCTACTCTATCATTGCCTCATGTAAACAGGCAATAAAACAACTGAATATGCACCCTTAATGATATCTCAAAGTGGATTTGGAATTTTTCTGAATTATACCAACCATCTTCACATCACGCACTTATCTTCTCTAGCATTTGCATTGACGACAAACTTTAGATTGTTTTGCGGTGGGAGTTCATCTCATGAGTAGTCACACTTGGTGGCAGTATTGGGATCCTTGTTTTTTCTGGAAAGTTCTCTCACCTTGCTATCCAGAATTCGGCTGATAATTCTTTTGTAATCCTTTATGATGACCAATGGGTCGCACACTGGTGTATTGTCGGAAAGCAGTTCTTTGAAATAGGGAAATGTGCAATTCAAGGGAGAAACTACCACACTATGCATAAACGTGTGCAAGAAACAAGTTGACATCCCTGAAAATAAACCATTAAGAAACCATTCAAATTTGTGGTTCGCTATAGTAAATTTCGTTATCTTGATCTAGGAGTTTGGTAGAACATTGAGAATTTTCTGATAGCATTGAAAAGCGTTTTTTAGCCAATCTGATGCGATTCCAGGAGCGATACTGCAAGTAGATTCTAGGAAACAATCCGATTTGTGGATGAGAGTCTCCTAGGTACATGACCACTTCGGGCTAAAGAGAATGATATAGTACTGGCTGCATATGTGAGAGCAAAAATTACCCTGTTCTTTTTTCCCGCAAGTCGGCCGCCCGCATAATTTAGGAGAATAGTGAGTTTACTAGCTTCATCAGGAGCCGTCTGATTATAACCATAAGCCATCCGGAAGCACCTGCAGCAAAAAACAAGGGGAAATTTTAAATGGAAAATGCAGAGAACCGTAATTATATCAGACTTCTTCTCACTACCTGCCTCTTAACAGTGCATATGTGGGTTTGAAGACTTCGCAGCAGTCAAATGTACGTGGCCCGCTAGCGCAAGAGTGGAAGAACTGGAAAATGACATTAAGTTGAGTTATAAAGCTTCAAGGTCTTACATGGTTACATAAGTATCCATTTTGTTCAAACACAAATTCAAACATCTCATTAACACTTCTATTTCCCTTCCACATATCGTATAGGCGTTGTAGTTCTGTCCTGGAGTAAAACGATTGGCAAAAAATAGGTTTAAAGCCATACCTGTAGCTGTCATTCCATGCCGTGACCATTTCAAGATTGTCAAAACCGCTTCCAGCTACAACGAAGCGGAGAAGATCGGATGTTACGTTGACATCAAGCTGACCGACATTGGCATGTATATATGAAAAGGCTCAAGTAATTGCTGATAAAATTCCTGCATTCATTTTGCATTTTTATCGAGATTCGAAAATAGGCTACGAAGAAAGATCTACCTAATGCTTTCTCATTTTTTTGCGAAATAGCCAAATGTTTGCAAACTTTTTGTCAGTAGGATGAAATCATCCAGCGTGATCAACCATATACAAATCTGGTGATGAATTAGGAGATGCTATACATTGTCGCACAACGGAACATTTGAAGCTAACTAAGAATTTGAGGTGGCCAAGAGGTATTGGCACTGGTTGATATTTGTGAGTCCATCACCTGCTGACTTAATACTTTCGCAGTTTTTAGTATCTGCCCTCACCGTCAGGCATCAAATTCAGAAAGATGTGATCCACGAACCATATGTTAACAGGCAAGTTGTGTCTGTGTAAAATCGGAAGGGTCTAACATACAGCTCCAGGCTCCGTGAATGCATTCATTTTAGTTACTGGTTTAGCAATTTTTCGTTTCTGCATTGAATTGATGTCTGCTGTAGCTCAGCAAAGCTCCTGGACCGTCTTCAAGCAGCGTCAAGCGTGTTGATGCAATCTGGGACCTTTCTCTTACGACCCTCCCCCTTCCGTACAGTCTCCCCC